CTGGAGAGAGAGCATGGAGACAGTGAATGGTTAGATCAGCGCCCCAACATATTCTCACTGCCAACTCATCAGAAACCGCTTCTCTTCATGTTGTAACACAGGGTCATTTTCTCAGGTAGGTTAGGAGGCAGGTGGAGTACCAGATGTTTAGACCAGCGGTCCCCAAGCCCTGGGCCACGGACCGGTGTCAGTCCGTGAGTCGTTTGGTGCCGGGCTGTGAGAGTTGAGGCTTGGGTGTGAAATCTATGATGTTCAGGGTTATTGTTAACTCTGTTTCCCTGGGTCTGTTCCTGTGTGTTACGAATAAATCTTTCTTTTTTTGGTACTGGTTTTATTTTGTTGTATTGTATTTGTTGTATTCGCGACACCTTAAAGGCCGGTCTGTGAAAATATTGTTGGACATAAACCGGTCCGTGGCGCAAACAAGGTTGGGACCGCCGGTTTAGACCAGTGCTTCCCAACCTTTTGGAGCCACGGCACATATTTCACATTAGATAAATCACACCACAGAAGCAAAATGTCACAAAAATCATTTGATCGTTTTCTGCCTCGCACCAGCCTCGGTTTGTCCCCAGGATACCTTTTTTGCTTTGCTTTCACTGCTCATGCTACGGCCTTCATCTAGGTCGCAGTTTTCTCCAGGACCAGGGGTCCGTTCTTCGTACCTTGCTTACTACATCCAAGATCAAATGACACATCCAAGACCAAACCATCGCGCTAACCGTGAGCTCGCTAATCCGGTTCCCCGAACACACCTGCTGTTGACGATTAGTACAGCTGGACGCAGGAATGTGAGATCACTGGGTGTCGTAAAAGGGGCTACGCATCGATAGTAGAAACATTGATCGGCAACCCGCTGATTGGTCGGCGAAAATGTCGAAGGGGCGTGCTCGGTATTTTCCGGCAGCAGAGCAAGAACTCATGAGTGAGGGATTTCAGGAGTTTCAGAGTTTAATGAAAACGCAAGAGAACACTGCAAAGGCTGCAAAAGCAAGGAGAGAGGGCTGGCAGAAAGTTGCTGACAAATCAAACTCGTAGGTAATTTAATAATAATAATAATAATGGATTGGGTTTATATAGCGCTTTCCAAGGCACCCAAAGCGCTTTACGATACCACTATTCATTCACTCCCACATTCACACACTGGTGGAGGCAGCTACGGTTGTAGCCAGGCTGCCATATCGCGCCATCGGCCCCTCTGGCCAACACCAGTAGGCGGTAGGGTAGATCTATCATATGACACTATATTGTCCAATATCATATGGCATTATATTATATTATAATATGTTATATTATATCCCCTTTCACATTAGAGCCACAACAGGACCCACAAGAACATGGGAACAAGTAAAAGTGGAATACAGGAGTATTCTACAGAATGGTAATATTTATCTCTTAGATTGCTTTTCGTCTCTTGGCAAGGTAATACTGGCCTGTAATACTCTGTTAGTTTGTTCATAACAGCAACCAAGAAAAGGGCAGAGGAAAAAAAGACAGGTGGTGGTCCTGCACCCCCTCGTCAACAAGTTGGTTAAGTGAATAATACCCTCACGGGAAAATCGATATCTCTCTATGAGCACACTGTCGCGCTGAGCTAAAGGATCCTGTCTGTCCCGCAATATACGCTGAATTCTGAGGACTCTCCTTATCAATCTTGCACCTTCCGCAATGGGTTGCTCGCGTATACGGACAGGACATGGCTGCGACAGGCTTCCCAAATCCACCTTCGCTTTTATAGCCGTGGTCTCTCATCTTGATTACACGAAGTGATTTGCAATTACTACTCTGAAATATGAATTACATCTGTAATAATCACATACATGTAATAGAATGTTAATAGTACATTTCCCTTTTTTAGGAAATGACCTGTATGTATCTGTGTGACATCAATAAAAGGATCAAGTGCTGCATTGTCTTTAGTTACATTGATGTTATTTATTTATGGTGAAACAGTGGTGGAATATCGCTGTTGCTTTCGTATAAATGAAGCGGACATACCTGCGTGGCCGCGATCTAATCCTGTTTACATAAAGTAAACCTGCTCCCCAGCAGGTTTACGCTTACGGCTCTGTTGCTATGACAGCAAGTCCCGGATGAGCTTCGGGGAACCGAACGATCCAGGATCACGCAAAATCGTCAACAATCTAATCCAGCTAACTTACTTAGCGAGGTACGACGAACAGGCCCCTGGTCTCACGGACTACGTTTTCTTTTCAAACATTTATCTGGGATTACGCTATTACGCACTGCGTCGTCTCACAGCATGACGATTTTGTAATTTCTTCTTCATCTTCTTCTGTTTTACTGGCAGTTGGCAACCCATTTAATTAGAGCAGATAGATGTACTGCCCTCTAGTGGAAGAGAAGGTAATTGTTCCGCCTATTACTCACGCCGATGGCTTAGAGCAGGGGTGTCGAACTCCAGGCCTCGAGGGCCGGTGTCCTGCAGGTTTTAGATCTCACCCTGGGTCAACACACCTGAATCACATGATTAGTTCATTACCAGGCCTCTGGAGAACTTCAAGACGTGTTGATGAGGTCATTTATCCATTTAAATCAGCTGTGTTGGATCAAGGACATCTAAAACCTGCAGGACCTGGAGTTCGACGCCTGTGGCTTAGAGTACTACAGTGTTCCCTCGTTCTAAACCCACAATAGGTGAAATCCACGAAGTAGCAGCTTTATTTTTTACAATTATTATGGATGTTTTGAAAACCCCTCACTACACACTTTATACACTTTTCTCAGACAGGCATGAACATTTTCACACTTTTCTGTCTTGTTTAAACTGTCAAAGTTCAAACCTTTGTAGAAAGTCCAGTATTATAGGATGAAACCAAAGATCAAACCCTGTTTTCAGGTCCAGAACATGGAATAGAGCCGCTGCCAGAGAATTCAACATTAATGAATCACTAATGAATCAGTGGAAGTGGAGGAAGCACGAAGAATGAGCTGAGTAAAGTTTGACTTATCTGACTGTTTTGTTTCGCTTAATGTGCCTTATAAGCAGGAAAATACGGTAACTTCTACCTGCCTTTTGTCCAAATCTTTGTGCGATGGTTAGCATCTTCCTGCCGCAGGAGACTTTGACGGAGCAAACGTTTCATCGACATTGGTGTTTGTTGGGAGAAAACTTACAAACATGCAGCACTTCAGAGTCACACTGCTAGCATCGAAGATTTAAGTAAATTTGACAAGCTGAACGCGTTCTGCACTGGACACGGCACGAGAGTGAGTGACAATGGTCTACAGCCAATCAGGACGCAGAACACAATGCGCTGCAAAAAACAACAACAAAAAAAGGCACCACATCCAGAGAAAGACACCAACAACCCATCGCTCACAGGCTTTCAGTAACAGTCAGTGTCTCTGGTGTTACATGTCTACATTTGGGTTTTATATCTTGACCACTGCTCGCAGCGGCTCACTGGATCTGCTGGTTTCTACCGATGGCGCTATAGGTCTTTCAACCCACTCTCATCATCAATGTGTTTTTTTGTGTTGTTGCTTTGATGCGCTGACATTATTGTCCACCAAGACATAACCTGCCAGTGTTAGAGACCTGAAACCTGTCTTAGGGGTTGCAGGAGCAGGTTTATCAGCCTGCAGTCTGGACCATGCTCTGTTTGAACCTCTGTGCTCTGGTTTTGTCACATTACATTTAGGAAAGGATCTTGGTTGAAGGTATAATCCCACAATATTTGGGGGTCAGTACTATCTTGTAAGTATAAAAACAGCTGCTCCATAACTGTAATTACACAGTATTTGTATCAGTCACAGTATCAGCGTGAGGGTTTCTTGTGTTTAGGGTCCGTGTGTCCATCGTGTCAGATCACAAACGGGTGAGAAGCAAAGGCACGACTGGTTGGGAATCGAACATCTCACACAGACACTGAGCCAGCAGCAGGTGTGTCACTGCTCAGGACGACTTTGTGGATCAGATAAAAACACAAAGACACAAAATACGTCGCTGATCTTTTAAAAAACTAAAATGTGTTTTCCTGCTCTGACCTCTGCGACTGCACAGGAAACATTTATTAATGACGGCCACACCTCCTCCTCACACATACACGTTCTATAACACATGCTGACTGTTCCTGTACAAAGTCTGTGTTGGTAATTCGTACTGGTTCACATGTAGCATGATGGGAATGTGCCAGACCAGCTGGCATTTCCACTTCCTGCCTGAACAAATCCATCGTATCCACTCAGATCGTTGGTCACTTTAATGGGAGAGCTAGCGTTAGCGCAGAAAGCCAGCTCAGGGTTGGATCTCGAAACCTGATCGATACGTCCATGAGGGGAACGATGAGCTACAAACATTCATGGTGCTTTTATTTTGAAAGTCAAGCTCGCTTACAAGTCGCAGGTTTTCCTTTTTGGGAGGAAAACACCTGTAAGTGTGCAGCAAGAACGAGCCCGTAATGGTCTTTACTGAAAGTCACATTAAGTGGAATGGACTTTAACTACCCTCTTATCTGGTCGTTAAGTGATGACGTGACGAATCCTACTTCCGGGTCTAAAGTAGTCTGCGTTTAATATGGCTTTTGTGTTGTTAACATGTTTAATGTTTTGTATTTTCTTCTATTTGATCTCAAAAAGCTCCTAAAACAGTCAGTGATCACTGTTGACCTCCCTCGGCTTTTATTACCACTAATCATTTATTTAAGCTCAGTTTTTAAAACCTTAGGATGTAACTACAGCCCAGCCCATGCAGCAGTATATGAATGACTAACCTCGTATTGTGGATGGATTATCTCAGTTGTTCTCCTGGCTGAAGTTTGGTCCTTTTACAGCATCCTGCCATGCGATTACATTTGTTCCTGACCACCGAGAACACTCACGTCAACTTTTATCGAGTGGAAAAAAGTTAGCTTGTTTATATTATGCTAACATAGCTGTGTCGCTAGCGGTCACGTAGCACATCATTATATACCAGCTAGCCAAACTTCAGTAACCCTACAAACGTCACTGCTGTTTAGTTTTCTGTCTTCATTTAT